CGAGCTAGGTCTTAGAGTCGGTCTTGGACTCGATCTTAGACTTGGTCCTATCCGATGAACTCTTTATCATTTTGGTTATGCTTTCGGGGCTCCTTTAGCCTACGACACCTCGGCGAGTTGGTTCCTTACAACTCCACCACCCATAGAAGAAGTTCGATGCCCACATCGAACATCTCTTTTTTATCCTACGACTTGTTAACCATGTCTCCGGGGGCATCCCCCCACTTAGCAGTGTGCCTAAGTTAGCCTCCCCGGCCAAGAGCCCATGACAATGGAGTATAGGTGTCCCTATGCTCTTCACCTCACCACGCCCTAGTATGGGGTTAGGACTTGAACCCAACCTTGCTTTACTAGGGGGTTGGGACTCGAACCCAACCTTCGTAGAATACGTCTACGGATTCGACATCCCCGCGGGGAGTCGGGCGTAGTGCCCTACGCCTGGTCGACCTAGCTAACCCATGCTAATTAGCTTACCTTCAGTGCGCCTTCGGGTCCCAACATATGCCATTGCTCAACTTCACCAATTGATACTTTAATTGAACTTTGCATAAGTACATAGAGTTTTGTCTCGCAGAAATTCCTCCACTAGATCTCGCGCGTTCACTAGGTTCTCCTCCGGTTCCCATGTTGCTTCGCAGTGTGGAAATCCCTTCCACTTCACATGGAACTCTCTCACCTCGCGTCCTTGTCGCTTGCTCTTACGCGCATTGAGGATGGCTTTGACTTTGTATTCCTCTTCCCCTTGGATAACCTCAGGTAAATGTCTTACTTGGTCCTTGCAAAGCGGATCCTCAAAGTACGGCTTGAGTAAGTTCACGTGGAACACTGGGTGCATCTTCCCCATCTCTCGAGGAAGTCGGAGTCAGTAAGCCACTTTACCGATTCGTGCCTCAATCTCGTAAGGCCCTGCGAACCTGCTTAAGGAACTCAAGATCAATTCATTTACAGGAATATATATGTTTTTACCTTTGGGTCAACTTTCAGCTGATCCCACTTGGTAGCCTGAGGTTCTTGGTGTTCAGCCACACCTTCTCCCCAGCTTGGAATTCTACGTCCTGGCACTTCTGGTTCGCGTACTTGGTTTGCCTTTGTTGTGCCTGTTCCAAGGAATCCCTCACTAGATTCCAAATGTTGAGTCTTTCCGCTGTGAATGCCTCCACTGCGGGTAGCTCTCCATGATACTCGGCCACGCCGAGTTCCACAGGACCTTCAATAGCTCACCCATTGATGACTTCCCATGGACTCACCCCGATACTTAAATGTGGTGAGTTGTTATAACACATTTCCGCAAGTCCCAAATGACTTACCCAATCTGTCTAGTCTCCCGAGACATAGCATCGCAAATAATCCTCCAGCTGCCTATTAACCCTTTCCGTTTGTCCGTCTGTCAAGAAGTGTTAGTGCCACCAAACTTGACTTAATACCCCATATCTGTCTGTGGGTGATAGGCTGTGCTGAATTTCAACTTGGTGCGATACTATTCCAGGAGAGTCCTCCAGAACCTACTAGTGAAGATCTTATCTCGATCTGAGATGATCTCTTTTGGCCTTCCCCACACTCGAACCACTTGTTCGAAGAACAGCTTCGCCACACCTTCCACATCCACTTCTGTTGTGGTGGGTATGAAATGTGCCATTTTCGAAAATCGGTCCACCACCACGAATATCGCATCAAACCCCTCACTTGGGGGAAGTCCCGTGATGAAGTCCATCGTAAGACATTTCCACGAACGATCTGGAATCGGGATGCTTTGCAACAAGCCCCCACTAGCCTTAGTCACGGCTTTGACCTGCTGACATGTTGGATATGTCTTTACATAGTCTTGGACGTCCTTAGCCATATCTGGCCAATGGTACTTCCTCTTGAGTAAGCCCATCATCTTGGGCACTCCTATTCAACCATCCTAGATGATAGTTAATCATCACCAATGATTGTTAAATGCAAAAACCAATATCAACATCGAAGTTAATAAGCCAAAATGCCTTCCCCAACAACTTCTAACAAATGGAACAATGAATATGAAAACTCAAGGAACTAAAAGCTTGAAGAAGTTTATAGCCAAGTCTTCCTTAATAATGATCACAAGTCTTGCATAACTAATTTCAATGTTAAAGAAGAAATCATGGTATAACCCACAACATCCTCCTCAACATATCCATAAGCTAAACTTCATAATGCAAAGCTAATGAAGAGCATAACTGCATCAATCCAAAAGTTAAACATAACAAAGCAATGCTCAATAAGTGATCATTAAATGATCCTCCATGAATCCATCTTATAGGAAGACATAACTCATTTCATAACAAGCACAAGAGGAATTATTAATGATCAATATATTCTTAACTCAAATCCAATAAGGACTCAAATATTTCAATAACAATCACTAACCCTTCTTCTCGTAAAGCTAACATAGTTCATAATTAAATCACTTTTCAAGGAAAAGCTCAAAGCTCAACCTTTACTAAACAATCTTGTCTAGAACATATTAACTCAAACTTGCCACTCAGCTAATTTGAACGCCAATGTAGTTGCTAACTAGCAAATGCACGAATGCCAATAACATAAAATTATAGCCAAATCATCAACACTATCTTCATCAAGACTAATGAAATTCAATATCAATCTTAAAGAGAGACATCTCATTTCACTTGAATCTCAACATCAACAATGTTAATGACAAGGCATCACTTCAATGCCATCAACACCATAACAAAGCTAGATGAAAGCAAGAGTGAATCACCACTCAAAACTCCTTTAGCAACTAAGCTAACCAAAGTCGAAGATACTTTACTCAATATCCGAGACTAATCCTTCAGCAAAACTCAGTTACAGATAACACTTCCTTAAGGAGTGATTCACCACGTCTAAGACTCAATGAAATCTAACACCACAGACTAAACACAATCAAATGATATCGACAAAGGTAGAGTCAACATGCCAACATGGAAAACCCATGTAAGTTTAACGACATGATCCTCCACAACACTATCTGGTAAAGCAAACCCATCACTGCTAAATCATCATCGAGTGAAGTAAGTGTCAATAGTTCTTAGCAAAGTCTACAAGCAATCACTAGTTACAAAGTAGCTAACAATCACTCTTTAATTTGCCTTCACAAGACCTAAACATTAAACTCTTGCCATCAAGTCATATACTTGTCCAATGTGAACATAATATCCCAGACATGAGATAAAGGTTCATGAACAAGCATAAACTAAATGACCACTCGAATCCAACTCAACCGCGATAAGCTCATAGACATGTTTAGTCAATAACTTTGAGCATGCCTTGAAGAGGCTGGCTATGCATAATCAACACTCAATCAAAACTAAAGTGAAGACTATGAGATGGAATCATATTGGTACACAACTTCCTCATAGACAAAGTTATAGTATGGGTACCAATATCTCAGCCTCAACAACTAAGTTGGACATCACTATCCTTAGCCAAAGCGCAAGGCCATCAAGACCAAGTCAAGATCAATGAGAGCTCACTACTCTCATAGAGTTTAATGAAATGCAAGGTGCAATTTGCAACCAAGCATAACGCTACAGAAGAAAGGCACAAGGGTCACCCTTCTTAGAAAAGTGCAACAGCCACTTTTCTACACTAACTCTAGATTCTATCCAACTCAATTGCTTTAACCCCAAAAGTTAGCATCCCTTTTGGGCTGCATCATACAAACTACATATGAAGGTCTAAGCTAACCGAAGTCAACTCCAACCCTTGCACTAGTTTGTACTGGCTTACAAAAATGGAATGGTTTTCAGGCAATAGATCAGCCATTGGAAAAGTCTAAGAAAATTTGTGGAAAATTTCCATCATAGAGAAAGAATGACTCTTAGTCTAGGAATACAAACTTTCAAGACTCAACCAACTTCCTACTACTTACAACTTCACATAAGTTCATCTCAACATAAATTCTCAAGACTTATAATATGCTTAAACATTGAACATCTTTGCCCATTCTTCCGACATCCAACATCGACATTTGCAAAATGCAAAGTGAATATCCAAAGCTTGATCATGAAAACCACATCTTTGGATATTCACATTGCACTAACACCTTTCTTCAATCACCTTCAAAATCTAATATGAAGCCAAAGCACTAACAAGAAAAATGATATGGAGAATCAAGCTCTAAGGAAAAATTCCTTATCACTCTACTATAATGCGACTTCGTGCAAGTAGACTAACTTCACTATCAACCACTTTGGGGTTGATCATTGTTTAACCAAGCAACTTCGTAAATACATTGTTCATTATCACGTGGATATAATATTAGTATCACAATGTTTTGATCATCAATTAAACAACACCGCGAGCAAAGCCTATATCATTACTTCAAAGGTTTATATGAATATCAAATGCCAACTCAATTCGACAAAATGCATGCCACACCCCATCGATAGAGATTTACAACACCCAATACCACTAACTTTTGTTCATAACACAGATAAACTTGTGCCACTCTTTCCGACCAAATTCAAAACTAATCTAACACCAAACTACTCAAGGAGCAATAGCAAAGTTCCTTGGAAAAGAATTGAGCATTGCAACCCAAGTTTTCCAATAGCAAGCCTAGACAAAATGATATAACACTTCACCACTATCCATCCCATGACTCACCACTTGTAAAATTATCATTTCCAATATGCATCAAGGTAGAGACTTTTGATTGCATATTGTGAACATGAGCAATGAGTCACACCTCGTTGCAAATCATCTCTCCAAGAAGAGAAGATAATTTACATGTTTGATCCTTCGTCCTTGATAACTCTTTTTTCGGTTTCATCTTTGACCCAACCTTAAACTTACTTTCGCACTGCCTTCAATTCAATTCAAGAAAAGTTTATGAGAGAGCACGCCAATAACTACTTGAACCAATAGACTAATCCCTATACACTTATAATCATACCTAAAAAGGATCCATTAGTGCCGTGCTAAACAGCTACAAACCAACCTATTTGCCACTCATAGCAAACCCATTGGCTTTTGGATTTGGGATTGGACTGGTGAGCAAACAAACACAAGTTTTCTGCTGAAGTTTATTCATCTTTCTTTTCTCTCACGCAGGCAATGCATGGAGCACCAATGTACATCTCCGAAACATCACCATCTAAAGTACGAGGGACACTTGTATCTCTGAAGGAAGCCTTCATAGTTCTTGGCATTTTGGTAAGCAAACCACCACCTTCTTTCGTGTTTTAAGCCACTTTTTGCAGCTTGGATATCTAGCGGGCAGCGTAGAAATCTCCACTGTCGGAGGCTGGCGATGGATGTACGCATTCGCGGCACCGATCTCGATCATCATGGGAATTGGGATGTGGTGGCTGCCACCCTCGCCACGATGGCTACTCTTGCGAGTGGTGCAAGGCAAAGGTGACATGAGCGAGCTCACGCGACAGGCTTGCGAGGCTTTCAAGAGGCTTGGAGGAGGATCAAGCAACATCACCCAAGAGGCTGTGGATTTGCAAGTGGATGAAACTGTCAAGTCGCTGGAGAGCTTGAGCAGGGAATCTGAGAGCGCGCAGCAAAGCGTCTGGGAGTTGTTCCGAGGAGGCAACTTGAAAACTCTGACGATTGGAACCGGCTTGGTCTTTTTCCAACAGGTTTGTTTTCTTTGTTCATGCTCGAGCAAAGTTTCATATTTTGTTCTGGTTTCTCTGGGATGTTTCTTTCAGGTGACTGGCGTCCTATACTATGCAGCCACGATCCTCCAGGTGAGTGGCAGCATGTCCTTTAGTTTTCTTTTTCGTTTTCTGAGTGAAACTTCGATCCAGAGTGCTGGATTTGCTGTCGCAACGGATGCAACACGAGTCTCGGTTCTACTGGGTGTTTTCAAGGTTTGTTTTTCTCTTATAACTTTTGCCGAAAAACTTCGAATTGTAACAGCTTATTATGACTGGAGTTGCGGTTTTCAACGTTGATAAACTCGGACGAAGGCCTCTACTAATCGGTGGTGTCAGCGGCATTGTAAAGTTTCTCGCTTTTCTCTACCTCTCCGTGAAGATCTAACACGAAAATCCCGCAGGTTGTGAGCTTGTTCATGCTGGCGGCTTTCTTTGTCTTCGGAAAGGGCCTCTCGTTTCTCGCAGTCATTGCGTTGCTTCTCTACGTTGGTTGCTACCAGGTAAATCCCCTGTGCATCTTGTGATCATGCGCTTCATCTAACTTCTTGGAGCAAACAGATATCATTTGGCCCGATTTCATGGCTCATGATCTCGGAGATTTTCCCACTTAGAACACGGGGTCGAGCTCTCAGCATCTCGACTCTTGTCAACTTCGCAGCCAATGCTTTAGTCGCACTGGCATACTCACCACTACAGGTAAAGAGTATTCTTTCTCGAAAGAAATAACCAATCAATCAAACCACGCAGGAACTTTTGGGAGCGCCTCTGACTTTCGTGGGATTTGGAGTGATTGGAATCGTGGCGCTCGTCTTCATTGTTTCCACGGTCCCAGAGACAAAGGGACTAAGCCTGGAAGAGATAGAACAGCAGCTCTTCGCGAGTAAGCAGTGAGTGATATAATGTCATCTGAAAGTATACAATCTAACTTTTCCATCTTTTGTTTTGATGGAAAGCTTGTAAACAAGAAGCTCTGTGCAGTGATCCTTTGAGACAGATATTTACACTTCCATCGCTAGAACCTTCCTCCAAAAACTAATCCCAAAAAACTAGAAAAGAGATATGGGCTGACCTTGAATTTTTCGCGTTTGTTTTCTTGGAGCTCGTGTACGTGATCTTCATGCTCTTCGTTTTCACTGTGCTCCAAGTTTGGTGCCGCTGGATCAGCAACACTCTCTTCTCCCTGGCACACATCACACGCATCGATTCAATCCAAAAACTTGACTGCAAAGTTATCCCACCTTGTTCCTGTTGCCATCCCACGTAAAGGCAAACTCGTCCTCTTTTTCAGCAGCAGCAGCAATATCTTGCAGAACATCTTCCCAAAGGTTCTCGTACTCCAAATCTGCAAACGGAAAACTCAGTCGAAGAATGCAACGAGCTAAAACAGATTCACCTCTGTCTTGTTGGAGGCTGACTTGCGATAAACGCCGCGGATTTTGACGTCCTTCTCTGTTGTACTTGTTCTTGATCTGTCTGCGTGACTTGCCAGGTATTAGCCGCTGGACGAGATCAAAATCAGTCCCAAACTGCTCAACAGCCAGCAAGAAAAATAACTTAATAAGAAAGGAAAAACCTCGGAGGCTCCTTACCTTGTAGAAGAGTTCCGTCTCTTCAGGTCTCCATCTCTCGTTGGCTGCGGTGCTGGTTCGGTAGTTCACCTTCCTGTGCGTTTCGTCTATGCGCCTGTAAGTCGCAGGGTCCTCCTCATTCAAGGCCCTGGCATCTAGATCGATGGCAATGCTCCCATTGATGATCCGCACTTGTGGAGCAACGTTTACTCTGTACAATCCAAGAAAACAATCTTATCGATACACAAGAGCATCGTATGTCTCAGCTACTTACTCCTGTATTCTCGTGACAGGAATACTCTCTTCCGGCTTTTGAACTTTTTCTTTTCCTCCTGAACAGAACCAAGATCACAGTAAGAAAGTTTTCAGAAACTAGAGCTACAAAGTGTCTTACTTTCTTCATCCTCTTCCTTTGCTTCGGTGAGTTTGATGAAATCTCTCAAGGACGCCTCTTTGATTAATGTCGGCAAGTCGATACTCACAGCTGGATGCACAATCAAAACCACGTCAAAAGGAAACGTAAGAGTTTTCTACCTGGCTCTTGTTTCTTGCGTGAAACCGACCGCTTGTTTCTCTTTGCCTTTGAACACTCGCTGGTACAAGTTTCAGTGCGCTAAAACACAAGAGGAGAGGAAAAGTAAAACAAGAAACAAGAAGAAGAAGACGTACCGATGATGGCATAACCAGATCTGGCACTGGAGCCGGCGGTGCCAAAGTTGGCACAGAGTCACTTGGTGCTTCTTGCAGAGATAGAGGTTCTTCGCACTGATGATCGACTATTGCATCCAATTCCACCTCGCTCAAAGTTTCGAGAGGGATTTCTGGATCTTTCTTCTCGGGCACTCTCTCCTCTTGAGCTGGCGTTTTGATTTCGCATTCTCTACGAGGTCGGAGCTTCACTTTTGGATGAAAGGCGGAAGCGCGACTAGCTACAAAAAATAGTCATTCTCCCGTGAAGACCTAGCGCAGCGCTACATACCATTGCCGCGCCCGCCTCGAGCGCTTGCCAGCATTGCGCCCAAGAACCCTAAACCCTAGAAGAGGCGGGAACTGAATCCTATGTGGCAACAAAACATGTCAAATAATAAACTGTCTAATAACGTGGGATATTAAATTAGATTGAGCCAACACACGCGGTGTGAACTCCATTTTCCTGCTTGGTGAGATCTCCTCCGCTTTGATAACCTTTGACTTTAAGCATCAATCATGCTATTTCCTATTAGTTTTCAACCTCTTCTCGCGGCTTGGAGCAGCAGAGCACTTTCGAAAACTCTATAGATGTTCTTCGCGCTCATCAGATAGATTCCACAACGAACGGGAATGTTGCTGGCGCTTGCTCTTGCTATCCCGCTGCTGCTGCTGGCGGACGCGTTTCCTCCGGATCCAGCTTTTTGCGACGACTCTGGAGATTGTTTCATCACCAATGCGTATGGGACATGGAACGACAGGTAGATTCATCACCTCTCCAGAGAAAACAATTCTTCTCATGATCGATTCGATCCAAAAGGTTTGCAGAGTTTCTCAGATCGTGTATCCATCCAACGAGGAGGAGCTCCTGGAAGCCGTGGGCTATGGAGCCAAGAACAAGCTCAAGATGAAAGCCGTGACCAAGTCTAGTCACAGCCTTCCTCCACTGGCATGCCCAGGAGATGGCGCCGCCGCTGGCCTCCTCGCCATTAGCACCGCCAACTACAGCCGCGGGATTGCCGTGGACGTGGCGTCCAAGGCGGTGGAAGTGGATGGCGGCGCGCAGCTCCAGGCGGTGCTCGACGAGGCCGCGCGGCATGGCCTGGCACTGGCGGCGTCTCCCTATTGGAATAGCCTCTCCGTCGCTGGAATCCTCAGCACTGGATCCCATGGGAGCTCCTGGCGTGGCAAAGGAGGAGCTCTCCATGATCACGTCCTCAAGCTTCGCATGGTGGTACCGTCCGGGAAGAATTCCTCCTCTTCTTCCTCACACAACGAATTTGCGAAGATCGTCACTCTCACCCCCGGCGATGGCGATCTCTTCTACGCCGCGATCGTCTCACTTGGAACGATGGGAGTCATCTCAAAGGTCTTTTCGCACTCGAGCTCTCGATTTTCTTCTTGATCTGGCACTGGCATCTTCGCGATCGATCAATTCTATCCATTATAGGTGACGCTGGAGCTGGAGCCCATGTTTAAGCGATCGATCACCAACGTGAGAACCTCCGACGTGGGCCTGGAAGACAAGATCGTGGCGTTTGGGAACGAGCACAAATTCGGCGACGTGATCTGGTACCCGTCCAAGCGAGAGGCCGTCTACCGGATCGACGATCGCGTCCTTGTCGACATACCCGGCGATGGAGTCAATGATTTCATCGGCTTCCAGCCCACATTGGCGCCTGCCATCGTCGCCCAAAGAGCTCTCGGTAAGAACCTTAGCCAGGATTCCTGAAACTAATGCTTATCGATCCCGACAGAGGAGACGCTGGAGGCGACGCGATCCTCCATTGGCAAGTGCAGCGCATCACAGACACAAGTATCGCTACTCCAAAGCCTGGGCTACGGCCTCAAGAACACACGTAGCCTAGGGCTCTTCACGGGCTACCCAGTGGTGGGATTCCAGCACAAAATCCAGACCGCCGGTGGCTGCCAAGATTCCGCGTCGAGGCTGCTCATCTGTGGCTGGGATTCCGCCAAGAATGCGCTCTTCTACCTCGAATCAGGCATCAGAATCCCAGCCCAGAGCATCGCGGCCTTCATCGCGGACGTGAAGCATCTGAGAGATTCCCACCCAGATGCCGGGGCCTTGTGCGGGATCGACCTCTACACTGGTGTCGTTTTGCGCTACGTGGCCGCATCGCGGGCGTTGCTCGGCAAGCCATTCGACGGGGTGGATGTGGGACTTACGTACTACCGGTCACGAAATGGGAGTGTCCCGCGGCTCAACATGGACCTGTGGCAAGAGGTGGAACAGAAGGCCATTTCTAAGTACGGAGGCGTTCCTCACTGGGGGAAAAACACACCGGTCACCTTCTCGAATCTTGGGACTGGCAGCTCTCCAGTGCTGGAGAGATTTGTGGGAGCGATGAGGAGCAGCACCTGGAGCGATCGACTTCTTGGCATCCAAGCTTTTGGAACTGTAATGGCAGCTGGGTGTGCATTAGAGGGTTTGTGCATTTGTGCAAGGGATGAGCACTGCGCACCAGAAAAAAGTTATTACTGTCGGCCAGGGAGAGTTTTCACAGCTGCTAGGGTGTGCAGATATGAAAATGCTTGATTACACCAAGGACTGATCAAACAGAAGTATAGCAATTTTGTTGTTGAGTAGTAATTAATATTTTAAACATTATGGTTTATATAGCCCATTAGCATAGCAATGAATATGTGCCTATATTATATGTTATATATTTACATATGTGTGGATTTAGTTTTTTCATTTTGAGTTGCATGCAAAAATATTATGCACACAACACTATATAACCAATCGAAATGTGATTGTATATATAATATTTTTTTCATAGAATATGCCATGTATGGATGGGGCATAATATTTCAGATTGTCACGCAAAACTAATATCACATCATCTCATACAACATGAATTTAGTGATTTTTTTTTTCCTTCTCAATTTTATATTATTGAGTGCAAATTTCTGATCTCTTAATTGTGACCATCTTTCTTGTAATTATACTTTATTTCTTATGGCTTAGAAGTGTATTTCAATTGCAGTTAAAACCACCGTGCTTTAACTGCTCTTGCAAGTGCCTCACATTTCTTGTGGCTTATTTGTGGTCTATCACATTAATTTAGGTTAGTACAAAGGTGAACACAATCAATTGGAGAGCAAAGGTGAGAACAAAGCTTTTCTTTGGGTTCTTAGAGTGTTGAGTATGGTAGTGCTTTTAACAAACAAGTGGATCATGTTATAGTTGCAATTCTATTGATTTCTTGTGTTCTTAATCATATGTATAGCTTTTTGGAATTGTAGTGGTTTATTTCATTTAATACATTACAAAGCAATAATGTAAGCCTTTTTTTCTTGGATTTTTGCTTCTTCATTTATGATTTATGGTTGTTTCAGTGATTGTGTTGGGTTTATAATGTAACATTTACTAATAACACTTTATTGCACTTCAGCACCACTTGGCTTGTTTGGATTTTTATTTTTATTATATTTTTATGATATATTTGATAGTTATAATTTTATACACACACAAATAAATAATAAATATTTATTTATTTATTTATGTGTGTGTGTATATCTATAATAAGCCAACTGGTGCTAAAGTGCAATAAAGTATTATTAGTACTTCATTTTCTCTAACTTTATTCTCTAGATATTATTATATCCACCATAGTAAAACAGATATAACAACTGTTAAAGTTTTAATTTTAAATTTTTTATTTAAAAATAATTATAAATAATAATACCTAATCATAAATTAATATCTATAATCATGAATTATTATTTATTAGTTTTAGTTATATTAAAGTTTACAATTGGTATATTATCTGATGAGCCATGTGGTGGATGGATTAATACTTGTAAAATTCTAACACTTGAGCCTTTCTACTTAAGTGTTAGTGTAAGTTGTAAAAAAATTGATAAATCTTGGCATCCATCCATTTTTGTAATTGGTCTTTGTAGTTATGAAATTTTATATTGTAATTTGTATCCAGAAAGGAAAGAAAATAATTTAATTTGTCATGATTCTCAAGGACAGGAACTTAACCTTAATAAACTTGCAGGAAATAATGATGGGCATGTTATTTGTTGCTCACCTCCATAACAAGAGCCAACATTATTTTCTCCATAATATTTAGTATTTTTATTTATTTATAATTATTTTATAAGATTATTTTTACATTTACTAATTTTAAATAATTTTATATCTATATAAGGTTTTAAAATAATTATATATATTACAAATGTTTATATTTTTTATAATAGTTTCTAGTATGGTAAGCAGTTTGTGATGATAGTTTTTAGGAAGAGGTACACCTCCCAAAAAGGGAAGTACTTGTAGTTTGGCAAAAAATTATACAAACCTATAAAATTTATAAAATATAAACACATATGTGGTTGAATTGTTATAACACATATGTATGTATATATATATATATATATATATATATATATATATATATATATATATATATATATATATATATATATATATATATATATATATATATATTCTATTAATTCCCCAAGCAATAGTGTATCAGAGGCTAGAATTTTTCTTTTTAAACAAATCTTTCAAACTTAATTTTGTGATGGGAAGGAGGTAAGAAATATTTTTTCTCTATAATTTTTCAATTTTTTACTTTTAAATGTTATTTATGATGTCCACAATCATATCCTCTAAAATGATCTAGCTTGGGACATATACAAACTTTTATTTTACATCATACTTTCTAAATGCCATAGCAGCTTTGCTTATGAAAAATAGAATAAAGTTTAAAATCTTCCTCTAAATAAACTTCTTTCAAATACAAATCTTTTTATTGTAACTCCATTAGAAGTCATCTCATATTTATCTAGTTTTTTCTTCTGCACTTAATGCAAAACTACAAGATAAGATATTGCATGATGCTACCAATTGCAATTCCTCTCACTAGACTGATCTTGTGTACTCTCTTCCAATGGTATGCATTTGATAATCTTGCCACCCAAGCTGTATCATCACTTTCTCATTTTAATAAATGGTTTCCACTTTTTCCTTCCTTTGATCAATTTAGGCTTTATATACATTACTTGTTTCATGTGTGTTTCTTATGCTCTTGGAATGTTGAATATATTGATGGATAGAGTGATCAATCAAATTTGTTATTATCAAGATGATATGAATGAGGTTGTTGGAGAGATGGGGGAGAAGTTGAGTATGATATGGTGTGGATTCATGAGCACATCAAACCCCTAATAGGATTATTTAGATACATGATTATTCTAATTTTATATCAATTGTTACTAAAATATCCAAGCATATTTTAGATATATCTATTACCATCAATTAATAAATTATAAAATAATAAATGTATTCCTCTTATCTATATAGAATAATATTTAAGCATGTTTAATGAGGTGAGAATATTACTTATGTGAGGGCCAAGTGTACGACTACGATGCTATATATTAATATTAGCGTAGTGGGATTTTGGTAACCGTCGGATTGGTTTCAATCTGGACCATTCGCTCTTGTATATAAGCTAGGGTTTTTGGGCTAATTGATATGCACATTTCTTGTATTCCCTTTCCATATTCCAAGCACTCACATTAGTGGAAGTGAGAGGCATCTTTGATTGTCCCTAGGGAAATATTTATTTATTTATTTATGTGTGTGTGTATATCGATAATAAGCCAACTGGTGCTAAAGTGCAATAAAGTATTATTAGTACTTCATTTTCTCTAACTTTATTCTCTAGATATTATTATATTAGTAAAACAAATATAACAACTGTTAAAGTTTTAATTTTAAATTTTTTATTTAAAAATAATTATAAATAATAATACCTAATCATAAATTAATATCTATAATCATGAATTATTATTTATTAGTTTTAGTTATATTAAATTTTACAATTGGTATATTATCTGATGAGCCATGTGGTGGATGGATTAATACTTGTAAAATTCTAACACTTGAGCCTTTATACTTAAGTGTTAGTGTAAGTTGTAAAAAAATTGATAAATCTTGGCATCCATCCATTTTTGTAATTGGTCTTTGTAGTTATGAAATTTTATATTGTAATTTGTATCCAGAAAGGAAAGAAAATAATTTAATTTGTCATGATTATCAAGGACATGAACTTAAACTTAATAAACTTGCAGGAAATAATGATGAGATGAGTCTGTTGCGTTTCGCATAGCCCGTTTTCTCTTCTGTTGGCAGCTCACCTCTCTAGTGAGCTTCCCGTGCCTCTAAATTCCTTAGCAACACCTCTTGTGCTAGACCATTATTCTCATATGCTGTCCGCACATCGTCCCAGAAGGTTGCTGTTGCGCTGGATATCGCCAACTTAAAGCTCGCTTTTCGACTTAGCGCATCTGCCACGATGTTGCTCTTCCCAGGCTTGTACAAAATTTCGCAATCAAACTCGGCCAAGGCATTGGCCCACCGACCTTGTTTCCCTCTCAGGTCGGGCTGTGACAAGAAGTGTTTCGTTGCCACATTGTTCGTGTAAACCTTGAAGTGTCTCCCAAGGTAGTGTTGCCACTCCTTGAGCGCGTTGACCACTGCAAACAATTCCTTCTCGTGGGCAAGCCACTTCCGTTGAGCCTTGTCCAACTTCTTCGAAAAGAATGCTACTGGATGGTTGTCTTGCTTCAAAACTACGCCCAACACAAAATCCGAAGCATCTGTTTCTACCTCAAAGTCCTTACCAAAGTTTAGTAATGCCAACACGGGAGCCTTCCTCAACTTCCCTTTGAGGTGGACGAATGTCACCTCACATTCCGCTGTCCAAACCATCTTACCTTTTCCTGTTTGGTCCGTTAAGGGCAAAGCTACTCTCGAATAGTGTCTGATAAACTTTCGGTAGTAGTTGCATAGCCCCAAGAACGCCCTCAACTCATGTACATTCGATGGTCTCTCCCATTCCTGGATCGCTTGGACCTTCTTCGGGTCCACCTTGAGCCCATCTTGGCTCACCACATGCCCAAGAAACTTTACCTCTTGTTGAGCAAAGTCACATTTGCTCTCTTTAGCATACAGTTTGTGTTCCCTTAGTTTCTCAAACACCTTCGCCAAGTGTTTGGCATGCTCCTCTAGCGTCTCGCTATAGATCAGTATGTCGTCGATATAGACGACCACGAAGTGATCCAGATAAGGTACAAAGATGTGGTTCATCAGCGCCGAAAACGTTGCCGGCACATTGCATAGCCCGAAGAGCATCACCAGAAACTCAAAGCTCCCATACCTCGTTCGACAGATTGTCTTCTCGACATCTTCCTCGGCTACCTTGATCTAATAGTATCCTGACCTTAGGTCAATTCTCGAGAAGTATTTTGCCTTTCCCAACCTATCGAACAGGTCCTTAATTCTTGGCAAAGGGTACTTGTTCTTCTTTGTATACTTGTTGAGCAACCGGTAGTCTATCCACATGTGCATAGAACCATTTTTCTTTTTCACAAATAACACCGGCACCCCATACGGTGCCTTGCTCACCCTAACATACCCTTTGTCCACCAACTCCTCTAGTTGGCACTTGAGCTCTTTGAGTTCTTTTTCGTTCAAACGATAGGGGGGACGAACCACCGCCTCAGCACCCTCGACCA